ACTACTTGTTAGAGAACATTTAAATTTCCTTCTCTAGAAACAATGTTTCCAGTTATTTATCTTGGGTTTTCTCTTTCACGCTACAGGCTTTAAAAAATTGTTCTGTGATTCTTGGTTGTCCATTCATGTTATTTTCAGCTATCCATTGGTATTTTAGACAAAGCAATGGGACGGCTGCCTGCGAACTTTGTACACGCTGGCAGGGCCTGTCATAGGCCAAGTTCTAGTGTGAGAGAGAGGGGTGCCCGTCACTAAGCTCCTCCTTCTGCCAATTCAGAGTGAAGACAGGTCTTGGAGCACCAATGCCCTCACCCATGCCTTAGTTCCCTTCGGCTTTTGGAAAAGGAGGTAGCTGCCAGCGTTCTGAATGCGTGTGCAGGGATGCCTGTTCACATACAAGTTTTTTCACTACTCCCCCATTTTTCCCCATCCCACTGTCCATTTTGCTTGCTGTCCCCCAGACTCAGAGCCCCTTAGCCTCTGCATGCAGCTGGCCCCTCCTCTTCACAGTCCCCCTGCTCAGTTAGTGAACATTCTTCCAGAAATCTGTTTAAATTATTTAACAGATGCCCCCTCCTGTTTTCTTGGTGGTTGTAGGTTATATCTTTTCTTATTCCCTTAGTATCATTTTGATGAATCTTAGGAGGAAGGAAAGAAAAACTCATGTACTCTGTCTGCCATCTTGAACCAAAAATCTAAAAGGTATTATCTGTAGTATTAGAAAACTGAAGATAACCTAAATATCCATCAATAGGGAAATACTTAAATGGTGTTATACCTATTGTATGGAATATTCTACACTAAAAAAATAATGAATGAGCTTTATATGTATTCATATGAAAGGATATCATGATATAATATTAATAGAAGCAAATTGCAAAAAGTGTGCAGTAATATCAATTTTAGGATATATATTTATTTGCACTTTCCCAAAGGACTGGGTGATACCCACTGAGCTGTTAAGAGTGGCTATTTATCTCTGTCTTTCCACTTGAAAGCAGTGGATCAATTATGGGGTTGGCATGAAGGAGGAATTTCATCTTTTTGCTCTGTATCATCTGTACTGTTCAAAATTTTTACAATGCATATGAAAAAATCTTTGGGGTTGTCATACAAATACAAGACATCATTTTAAAGTTCTCCAGTCTTTTGCATATAGAAAGCTGCTCAACTAATAAATTAAATAAAAGTTTGCAAATTATAGATGATCCATGATACTTGATATTTAAAATGCGGATCATTATTGTTATTGTTTAAAATGTTTACGAAAACATACTTAAAAGTAAAGATATTGCCAGTTTATTTTTAAAAGCTCACAGACCTTTAAAAAAATCCTTTCAAAATCTAAGGCTCTGTGACAGTGTAACATGTTGGCAGGTAGAACGTGTCCTATAGAACCAAGTTTTGTTTGGTATGCTTTTATGTCTGATTTCTTAACTGTTACAGAATGACATTAGGAAACTGAGCAGGCTGAACTATGCCAAACTCTGATATTTCAGCTAAAACAATTTTACATCTGATTAAGGAAGAGGCAAATAATATAAAATGTCAATCATTTTAGTAAAATTAGATTTAATTTTTTATTTCCAAAAAGGAGGGTTCTGAGTAACTCATGTGCAAAAGGAAAATACATAGCCTACCACAGATATAGGGGTTCCAAAGTCTTTTCTATTAAAAAAACAACAACTAGGAATCTATAAACCACCTACTAGTCTCTATTTTAGAGCATGTAAACAAATTCAAATTAACCACTCCACTGAAAAGTGGAGCTCAATTCTGTAGAATTTCATTGGTTTTAACCTAAAATGAGACAAACATCCTATCTCCTGAAATCTGTGCACTATTCAACGTCATGGTTTCTCCAGCTTTGCCCAGAGAGACGTGAAGTGATGCTGGCCTGTCCGCCCAGCTCCGCGTGGCTCAGTTCATGAATTATGAAAGGCCAGGGCTAGAGCTCAGGCCTTCAGAACCCGAGTCCAGCAGGTCCAGTTATTGATGGCCAAACCAAAATAAACCATAAACTTACTACTTACATATTAGCCAAAGTTTTGGGTATACATGCCTCCTCCTTCTACGTAGTTTTTGATTTTTAAATTTCCACTTTCATAGCCTAACTCTATAATTGCATCTTTAGTAACTAACACACAAAATCTCTTTTTTGAAGCAAGCAAAGTAAAGAACGTCCCGTTTTAAAAGTCAGAAGACCATGCAAATAAAAATGCTTGGAGACAAAGTGCTATGTAATCATATAGCATGACTACTGTGATTAACTGAGTGAGTGGCCTAGGATCATTTAAATATTGAGGGTTTTAAAAAACCTTTTCAAATTAAGTGATTAAAGCATCTTCTACTTTTTATCTCTATCAAGTTCAGAGAGTCAGACATTAAAAAATAGGAAGTGTTTCACAAGGAAAGTTTGGTTTGCGTTGCAAATAACTAAAGGTAATTCTGGAAAACAATAGGGCAACTGAAAAAAAATTTAATTTGTACATTTTTCAAAAGCAATGATACGAACCTGAACTATTCATTTCCTCTATATTACCTATTCTGCAGAACAAATGCATGCAAACAGCCAAATCAATTACGTGAACCAAGTTAAACTTTTATACAAAATACAGTTTACATAGCTAACAAGGTAAGAAAACCAAAACTTTCATCATTACCTGGAAAATTGTGGAGAAACCCACCACATATGTCTTTGAAAAATGTTTCAACATTTGGAAATGTGTAATGCAAAAAATAGTCACTGGACAGTTCAAAAATAGCTAGACAGACCTGTGCTCTAATGGCTTATACACATGAAAGTAAGCAATCCCATGCAATTTTAACTTTTAAAATATACAGACTTCACAGAACAGAAGATTTAGCAGGATAAGTCGGGTAGGTAAAGAGAACACTTGTGATGAGAAAAAGATCATCCCAACCACTGTGTACTTTCAAAGGGTGAATTTTATGGGATGTGAATTATATCTCAATTTAAAAAAAGAATTTAAAAGAAAAGGGCATCCCCAGTGATGTTTAAGTTTTATAGCCAGAATCTCCTGGTTATCACCTCTGGAACCTCCTCCACCGTAGCCTGCTCTTCTGTTTCCACTCTTCCTCCTTTGCCCACGTGGCATCACGTAATATTGCCACAGACTCTGAATTTCTCATGCACCCCACTGATGGCAGGCATAGGAAGTTTAACTCAACTTTCTGAATCACCCTCTCATTGACTTTGGGTACTTCCACTCTCCTCTGTCTCCTCTTCATCTTTTTTAAGGGGACCTGGAATTTTGATTCCACCAAGCTTTGACTATTGACAAGCTCTCTGAGACAAAAAGAAAGCAATGAATATATGTTCATTGCTATAAACTCCAGCGGCTCTGCTGGGTCCTGACTATCTGTTATCCTTCTCATGAAGACTTCTAAGGTCAGGATTCTTATTTCCTATGCTACGTGGAAATGCTGAGCAGTTTTGTTCAGACGGCCAGTGTTCACTCACCCAGGACATGGATCTTGCATTCAGAGGGCACAACTTTAAAAACTGATTTCTGAATAGGACTAATTCAAGCCAGGGAAAACTTACTAAACAACACAAAGCTCTAAGAAGTGGCACTGTTTCCTGGTGTATTTGAACACAATCACACTTCAAATAACCCACTGAAGAATACTTCCCACTCTAGAAGACACGACATTTATGGAGAATGTGGTCTCTTAATAATACAAAAGAAAGGAGGAAACACACAAAGACTATTTTTTATAACTTTAGATAACACATAAACCGTTTACTGGGAACCTAGGCTTATTGCCACTTTGATGGCTCCAGGGTTTGCCAGAGCAAATGTAAAGCTTTCCACTTTGATTGGGTTTGTCTCAGAGTTCTGTCTGCCATCCCTCCCTCCTCCCACCAATATAACTAAGAGGCTAATTTGGGTTGCTTTTGACGGGGCAGAGAAGGAAAAGCTCAATACTCGATGTTTACAAAATTAATGATTTCTCAACTGCTGCAGCCTTTGACCACTGTGTGGCTGATGGCAGACCAGAAAAATTAGGTTCTGAGAACTGCTCCCGGGCATTATCCCTCAATATGCTACCAGGCTTGGAAAAGACAGCCTGGGTCCAAATCCCAGCCCCACCTCTTCCTTACTGCTCGACCTTGACAAGTTATATTATCTCCCTGTGCCTGTTTCCTTATGTATAAAATGGGGATGGAACAGCTCCTGTCCCCGAGGGCTGTTGAGTGCTTAGCGATCTAGCAGGGGAAGCAGGAAGAACAGTGCCTGGCATGGCTGTGCTATTTAAGTTCCTGTTAAATAAATAATTCAAAACTAAAAATGACTATTGTTCGCTAAAAGTCTTTAAGAAATTGCTTTCCTATAGTATTTTGTTAGCCAACTTGTATATGCTTACTTAAATTAGAAATTGGTGAAAATTAACTTGTAAGACCTCAGAAAGCAACAAAGATTTCCTTTTGTGGGAAAATGGGTTAAAAATGGCCTGATTATTGATGATACTGCCCCAAATGATTGCTGAGCAGCTCTGCAGCTGTTCAGAAGATACACACATACTGTTGCCCCAGGCAGATGAGGCAGAAAGAAGAGAAAAATGGCTTTTGCTTTAGACCCCCGGCAGTGAAGGTCTAGTCAGGATCGTCACCTGCCCCGGCCACTTCAAACTCCAACGCAATAAAGGCTGGCAGGTCTCTGGGCTTTTCAAAGAGCCTCCCCACCTCAGAGACACAATTTAGCCCAATATTGAATTCATAACCATGTTTCTCTTACAAAGAACACAGGATGGTTTGCTTGTGTAAATATTAAGCATTTCCTTTCAATTAGGACTTTTTAAACTTTCTCCACCCGAGCTGCTCACTCAAGGGGAAGGTGGTGCTCTGTCATTCCCAGTGACGCCTCCTACGTGTCTGAGGACTTCTGGACACTGCTGGGCTCACCTCACAATCCTGGAGGGAATACACCACCCGGAGTGACAGATGGTTTCCTCTGGAAAAAGACCAAGCTTACCCAAATAGTTGTTGCTCTTGTGCATCTCGGTGATGTTGATTTTTGTGGCTCCTTGGGGAATCTCAACAACGCGGTGGTAGCCCAGGCTGGTGAGGGCGTGCTTAAACACGCCCGACACAACCTGACAGCCTGTGTTATCGCCTCCGCACACCCCGCATTTGTCCACCACTTTGTCGGAGCCTAGGTAGTCGTCACAGCCGATGCTCTGCAAAGAGGTGGAAAACAGAAGACTCTTGTAGCATCTATCAGGGGCATCTGGGGAAGAGGGGGAGGGGGCTAAAGATCTAGTGGTGGGATTCGAACTGACCGTCCTGCCCCATTCAGTTCCTGCAGATGAGCAAGTTCATGCCTCCCTTCACTCAACAGATACTCATGGAGCACCTACTCTGGGCAAGGACCTTCTCTTCTAGGTGTGTGTGAAATGTACATTCTAGGGGCTGGGTGGGGACACAGACAGTAAGCAGGACAAGTAAACAAAACAGTGCATTTGGTGAGGTAAATGACCAGTAGAAAAATAATGCAGGAAAATGGGGTACAGAGAGTGTGGGGAAAAGAACACTTATCACATAGGCTGGACAGTGAAGTTGTCCCCCAAATCCATTCCCCTGCTGGACTCTGAGAGAGGAGAGGCAGGGCCGTGCTGGTACTTTTATATAAACAAGTTCTTTGGCACCATAACACTGGGGCCTGTCTCCAAGTCTTCTGTTCTAAATAACTTGATGATACAAACACTTAGCAAAAGTCCTGTTTTCAGGCCCATTTTCTTAGGAAATTAAATCAAATTTGTTGAGATCTGGGTTCCCACTGGTCACGGTGGCTCTGAGGAGCTGGGCAGCAGGACCTGTGCTTGGCTCCCCGAAAGCACTTTCCCAGGGCAGAGGATGCAGGGGAGCAGGGGCCAGACACATCAGCAACATGGATGATACACGTCTAAATCAGGGGTGTACAAAGATAGTTTTGGCAGTCTCATCAGTGTTAAATGAATTCTGACTTTCCTGCATCTCCTCCCCGAAAGAATCTCCCATTTCTCATTCCAAGGTATTTTTGCTTTATCTTCCCCCCTCCCCATTCATGTTTCTGTTGGGGCAATTTTATTTTGCATAAAAAAGTTAAACTTGGATCAGAATAGAACAATGTGCAAGGAATCCTTGTCCATTCCTGGAGCTGATGCCAGAGAGCTCACAACGTGCTCCTGAACCCAAAATAGGGACACGTGGTCTGAGCAAAGAATTCCATCACATCTTTTCAGGCAGACAGAGTGGTGGACTGTAGTGTGGACAATGAAATACTGGATGACAGAATTATTCCACTGAGGTATGGGAATAGGGAATGGTACTTGAAATCAGAATGGAATTCTAAAACTTGAGACACATGTTTGCTGAAGATAGGCTTGTGTTAGTTTTTGAATTCTAACTATCAGACCTCATCTCAGGGGCAAAGTGGTCAGCAAACCATTAAAAGTCCACTTCTGATCTTGTTAAACAACCCTGGGTCTGTGCATGTGGGCCCTGCAGGTCAAATCGTACAGTCAGAGTCAAGTCAGAAGTGCTCATTCTTTCCCTCCAAGCTCACGCTGACACCGTTCTGCAGGCACTACAGGTCTGCACTCTCACTGCTGCATTCTTGAGAGCACTTTGTCCATCAACAATGATTGGTCTCTCTTCACAAATAGGTTGTCTGCAAAACATTATTTCTGACAATAACAGAACATCATTTCAATATGTTCACCCCCATCCAATTAGCCTTTCAAAATGCCATGTTTTCTCAAATATTTTTTGCTCCTGCTCCATGCATATTTTAGTGGAAAAATTTTAAAAATGTTTTCCACGCATGATTTCCACCTCCTCAACTCCTCGGTTTTCCTTTGCTTTGCAATAAAAAAGTGCCATCACCAAAAGAGATTTCAGAAAGTAGATCCCATGTTGCCAAACTAAGATCCTAAAAGAATTAAGGAGATGCCTCTGACTGTCATTGATGGGGAAGAGGAACAGGAAAGCTGGTCAGCACTCCCTCCCTTCCTGTCTAGCAATATCTCACCTCCTACTTTCCCCTCCAAGGGTCCAGTCGTGCTTCCCCTGGACTTAACTGCCCCAGACTGAGCTCATTCTCATGGGGCATCCCAGGTAAAGGAGCAATGTGCATGAAGGGACTGAGATAAGAAGTAGGAGAGCATGTTCATAGACTGACATGCTGAAGTGTAGGGCTGACAGGAGGGATGAAATGAGGCTGCAGCATTCAGCTGAAGTTGTCAAGAATCTTATTTGCCAGGGTGAAGTATTAGAATTTTGCCTGGTGGGATCCGCAGTCACTGGATGTCTGAAGAAGGGGAGAGCAATGCTCAGATTCGTTTTTCAGATGATAACTTGGGCTGTAGTGTGGGTGCGTCCTCAAGTGGGGAGAACAGGCAGTCTAGTGAGTCTCTCTCTTGTAAACAGAGGGTAGGGTTGGCTCAAGAGTGAATGAGAGCTGCCGAGGATGGGACAGACATTGCATCAATCCTCAGCCCCCAGCCCAGTTAGAATAGGATTATCACAAGGAAATTCCGTGGCCATGGATTGCTTCAGATGACCACAGACAGACAAAATGTCATTTTATCTCGTGAATCAGATACTCTATTAAAATGCTCTGCACAGTGTGATGGATGCCTACCTCTCCCCGCCCCTCAGCCAGACTTCCTTCAAAGCGAGGCCACTCTGGATGTATCTTGGCACTGGGAGGGAGGGTGGAAGTTCTTCCTAGCAGATGTCCAGTAGCCTGGAGGTTGGCTTCAGTGAAGTGCATGGCCATACAAGCAATGCCAAGAACTAAAGGGGTGACATCCTGTCTCCTCAGGGCCCGGCTCTGGACTCTGAATGTGCAGGGTTCACTCCTCAAGAGTGAAATCAGAACTAGGTGTGTGCAAACCTTCCTTGGGGTGACAAGAGCACCCTTCCAGTGTTCTATGGAGTTGCCAAATGCTCCACAGGCACCTCACAAAGCGGGTGGGACAACCCCACAAGGAGAACTGGGCAGACAATATGCATTCAACATCTTTATTTTTAGGCAGTTATATACCTCACAACTGCCCCTTCTCCAGCGCAGGGCTTGTGTGAGGATCAGATGATATAATGAGGGACAATTTGGACTGGGTGTCCAGGTATGGCATGGCTAAAGAAGTGACCTATGGGCCAGGACCTGAGCGACAGGAAGGACCAGCCATGGGAGGATTTAAACATGCAAACATGCATTTTTCTTTATGTCATGCTGGGCCAGGATCAACTGTCTTTTAGAAAGTTGTTCATTAACAATGAGGTACATAAAGTCTAGAGGACGTTGCAACATCCCAGCCTGAACTAGGGGAATAGTGAGTAGTGAAGAAGATTTGAGAGACACTTAGGAAGCAAAACGGACCGGCCTTTGTGACTGCTCGGTTGGAGAAGGAGTTTGAATCCTTTTCAGCATCAGCATCAGCGTATTCATAACTACAGTCCTCTGAACATGTATTTTTCTCATTTAATCTTAAAGGCAATCTGAGATATTTCTAAACATTGTAGGAAGGTAAGACTTAGGAAAAAAGTTAGGTAATTGGCCCAAGACTATGCTGCTAACAAGAGCTGGAGCTGGGCCCTGGCCAGTGCGGCTCAGTTGGCCGAGTGTTGTCTCATGTTCCAAGAGGTCGCAGGTTCGATTCCCAGTCAGGGCACATGCCAGGGTTGCGGGCTTATCCCTAGTAGGCCGCGTGCAGGAGGCAGCTGATCGATGTTGTTCTCTCTCCCTTTCTTTTTCCCTAAAAATCAATCAAAATATATTAAAAAAAAAAAAAAAAGCTGCAGCTGGGATTTGAATCATAACCCCATGCTTTTAACTATTACGCAAAAATCCTCCCAGCTCCCTGCCCTGCCCCAAGGATCAGAGGCTGGGCTGTGGGTTCCAGCTTTGCTGAGGGAGTGGACGGTAGCACTGACCTAAGTCAGAGGAAGAAGTTCAGCACTGTTACCATAGTCTCGGTCAGAGCTTGGCCCAGAAGGGACTCTGGCATTGTCCTCTTCCAATATAAGGAAGCACCAACTACATACGTACCTCTCCCACCGGGGCTGTTTTAACCCTATACTTTACACACAGTAAGTGATTAAATATTTTTAGCTCATCTTCCTATTACATTAATTTTTACTGTTATAACTTTTTATTTTGAAGTAGTTTAAGACTCACAAGAAGTTGCAAAAATAGTACAGAGTTTCAGTGCCCCTTTACCCAGGCTTCCCAAGGACAGTACCTCACGTAAGTACAGCACAGGGTCAGAACCACGTATATACCATCAGCACCATACATTAACTCAAGAGTAAGCCTTGCTTTGATTTTACCACTTTGTTTTGGTGTGTGGTTCTATAAAATTTTATTGCATGTCTAGATTAATGTACTATGCTTCTTTACAGCAGCTGGTATTCTCCAGAACACGGCCCTGTAATTGATAAGTGGAACTGACGTCCGTTAGCAGGAACAGCAGTTGGCAGGATGAAAAGGAGGTTGGGCTGGGCCTCAGGAAACCTGGGGTTTTGCCCTGGCTCGGTCTCTGACTGGCTGTGGGATGCCGATGGGTCACTTCTCTGTAGGGTTGGCACTGAAAACATTTCCACTACATCAGATCTTTGAGGGACACTGCCCAGAAATGAATCTGATCTGAATTTTGGTTTGTATCTCAGGAGACTGGTCAGTTGGTTTCTCATGGGGATGACCTAACAGTGCTGGCCTATGTCTCCAAACTCTCTCAGAGGCACCACCAAAGAGCCGTTGGTGGGCGCTTAAGGCGGCACTAGCGTCTGCTAGGCCCGGGTCATGGGCTGGCTCTGCCACTGGGGGCGCGGGACCTTTGGACACGTTCGCTAGGCATTCTGAGCCTCAGCTGTTCACCTGTGGCTGGGGATGGTGCAGTATCTACCCCAGAGCACTGCTGGGAGGATCAGATGAGGTAAACACGGAAGGCACTCGGCAGAATGCTATTAATAGGGCAGCTTCTTAAAAAACACTTTTTATTTTTATCATTGTCTTCATATATTAGTTTTATCTGGAATCTATCTACTTTTAAGTAAGTCCCATCATCATGTAACCACTTGGACCATATTTCTATAACACTTTATTATTTTTTAGTCACAGATAATCTCTTCTTCATTTGGAGAAATGTAGAAAAGTCTAAAGAGCTAAGAAAATGCCAAGGTTCACCATAAGGGT